AGCTCACAACCGTCCGTAACTCCAGTTCCAAAGGATCTGTCCTCCCCATACCCCGCTTCTGACCTCCAGCACCTGGCATGCACGTAGTACACACACACATACATACATACATGCAGGCAAATCACTCATACGCATCAAAATAAGTAAATCGTGTGTGTGTGTGTGTGTGTGTGTGTGTGTGTGTGTGTGTGTGTGTATCTGTGTGTGGGTATGTGCATGTGAGTGCAGGTGCTTGTAGAGGCCAGAAGAAGGCATGGGCCCCTGAAGCAGGAGTTATAGGCAGTTGTGAGCTTCATACAGGGAGCCGGAAACCAAACCCAGGTCCTCTGCAAACATCGTAGCATGGACTCTCACTTCTAAGCCATCTTTCAGCCCCCAGAATACATTTCTACTACTGAGTTTTCACTCCTCAAAAGCAAGCACACAGCAAGGATTCCATAGACAATCAATAAATAGCACTGAAACCAATAAAAACCATTCAAAATACGGGAGGTTGCAGGAGGGACCCGGCAGCGTGGAGCACAACAGAAACTTGGAAGAAAAGAGAGGTCGCCTGCCCGGAGTAGGTGTGGGGAGGGGAAGAAGGCAGAGGGGATCACGTTAATGGAAGCGTGCTCTGGAGGACTTAGATCAGGCGGGGAGCTTGCGGGGAAGCAAGCTAGAGGGGTCAGTGTTCAGCTTCTAGGGGAGGCCACGGAGTTGGGGGCAGGGACAGGGCCACAGCTGGTGGTGAAGGCTCTGGAGTCTGATTTCCTCCTGTGGCTTTTCTTTCTGCTTCCTAGTGAACCGAAGGTCACAGAAGAATGAAACCTAAAAGGATGGAACTGGCTGGTGGTGGTTCACTCCTGAAGAGGACACATGTAGCCAGCCACAGTGCTGGGACCTCCAGAGTCCTCGTCGTCGTCGTACCCCCCCCACCCCGCCCTTACTGCTTCTTCTTGAACACTAGAGCTAGAGGGATGCATTGTAAGACAGCTGTGCAGTGGCCATCCTCTTTTAAGCTGCATTTCTGTGCTGGCTGCTATTATGTCGATGAGACACAAGTTAGAGTCATTTGGGAAGAGGGAACTTCAGCTGAGAAAATGCCCCCACCAGACTGGCCTAAGGGCGGGCCTGTGGCGCTTTTCTTGACTGATGATTGTTGTGGGCAGTACCATCGCTGGGCTGGTGGTCCTGGGTTCTGTAAGAAAGCAGGCTGAGCAAGCCATGAGGAGCAAGCCAGTAAGCAGTTCCTCTGTGCCTGTGATCTGAGAGGCATGCGAAGGAAAGAGAAAACCCTTTTCTTCCCAAGTTGCCTTTGGTCATCGTGTTGAATTATCTGGAAAATAATTCCCAGTTTCCACTTTTTGCCACTAGAACTGTTTTGCCCCAGAAATCAACTGATCACATCTTGGACCCCGTCCTTGCTTCCAGGTCCCTCCTCCTGCCTGTGCTCCAGACGCTGAGTCTGGATTGGGTCCCTGAGCAAAATCTCCTAGGCCACTAACGTCCATGCTACCTCTGGCAAGTCAAAAATCAATTATGAAGTAGCACTCCCATTAAATATACAGTGTTTGCTTTGCTGGGTTTTCTCAACTCAGGGCATAATTTCGTCTTAACTTTTTTTCTTTTTCTTTTCTCGAGACAAGGTTTCTCTGTGTAACAGTCCTGGCTGCCCTGGCCTCAAACTCACAGAGATTCACCTGCCTCTGCTGGGATTAAAGTCGTGCACCACCACTGCCCGGCTCATTTTACTTTTTAACAGTAATTGATTTTGAAATGAATATGGTCTTAAAAATTAAATGTCATGTAAATGTATCTTTGCTGAGAATCCCGAACACACACACACACACACACACACACACACACACACACACACACACACACGGACACACATGCACACAAACTGGGATACAATGGCTTAATTCCTGTCATCTACCCCAAACCAGTCTTTGGTGTGCCTGTAAAACCACTGAAGAAGCTAGCCAGGGCGGAACCAAGAGTCTTGGCACAAGCAGAGGGTAAAAAGAGCAGGTAGGGATCCCAGTGTCAGCAAGGATTATCAGGACGTCCTGCTAATAAAAGACTTTTTCACTGTCCACACTATAATTGGTTTACAGCCTTTTTTGTTGATTTATCCATAAGAGCTGCTGTTAAATGGCTCGGGAAGGCTCTTGCCTAATGGCTGGGTATCTCTGAGGCCTGCTGGAGGCGGAGGAGGCACAGGCGGGCCGGGGATGCCGAGCGGAAACGCGTTTCACCTGTAATGGACTGGGGAGCCAGAGAGGCAGAGAAACGCTGAGTGATCTTGCTCGCTGGAGGTTCTACTGTTTGCAAGCAAGCAACCATTAACCAGTCAAAAACACCAGAGAGACTTCGGCCTACCCAAGAGTCATACCTAATGGCTATTGGATCTTTGTTTCTTGAGTCCCTTTTTAAGGAAGGAGATGAGAAAACATTAGTTGTGAAATCAAGAATGTGCCACAAACACACGCGGGCGGGGGAGGGAGAGTCCGTCCCTCGCGTTTTTGCTCAGCCTGGGGGAACTATTTGTTTGACCTTGTTTTCTGCCAGGAGACACTTTTCTTTTTGCAAGGCCCAGCAAAAATATTAAATGGGAACAAACGAAGCATCGAGATGGAAGCCAATTTACCGAAATGCACGCAATTAGGACCAGAAGTGTTAAGTAAACACTCCGGGGGTGACGGGTGAGGCCGAGGGGGCGGGGAGGGCAGGGAGAGAACAGCGAGGATCTAGCTCTGGGGGGTTGCCCAGGTGAGGTGGGGTAACCGTGAGGGAAGGTGCCTATCTTGGTCCCAAGCTCGAGACCCGCACATAACCGCATCACCAAGTCAACCCGCACGGCTGCGGCAGATTATCTTCGAGGGTCAACACCCCGTGGCCGCGCCACCCCCTCTGGCCCTGTCCTTCCGATCGATGTGACCACTCGCGGTCAAGGAGATAGCATCGAGTCCCAGGCCGCCACCCTGAACAATGGACTCATTGAGGCGGGCCTGTAGAGATTAGGTGCGCGGCGCCCGGGCCTTTCACTCCCAGGCCCCCCGATGGCCACAGGTGGCCCTTTTCCCTGAAGAAATCAGAGACACTCTCCCCTCTGGCCCGGCTTCCCTCAGTGAGAACCCGGGCAGGAGCCTGGGACTATGGAGGGTCCAGGCTCGCACATCAGCCCTGGGCAGCCCGCAAGCAAATAAAATCCTAGGAGGGAAAGAAATTTCAGAGTTCAAAACTCTCATAATTTTTTTTGCCTTTAATAGTTGTTGTTCAGAATAGCCCACTCCATCTGAATGCATTTAGGAAAAAAATATTAAAACGCTGCAAAAGTCTAAACATGCGTGTATGGTTTGGTTGAGTCGGACCGCAGTGATTTATTTCCTCTTGATTGCGCATGCCTCTTGCCTTCTTTTACAGGGGCTCTCGGCAAAGATGCAAAGAGATTCCAAAATCTTTCAGTGTCCTTGGAGGGCCAGGACTCAGTGAGTCAGCAACCTCTGTCACATACACTCCAGAGAATGAACACCATGGCCACTGGGTCCTTGCCAGCAGGGACACACACACACACACACACACACACACACACACACACACACACACACACAAGTGACCATGTTAAAGGCAGGTCCCTGGAGTATCTGACAGGTGGAAACCAGGCACGGGCATCCTTGAACACGCAGTGTTTTAATTTCGTTTTCTAGGAACCCAATCATCTCCTTGCCAGGTTGCCCTGTTTCAACAACAGAGTGGGTTTTCTCTGCGGGTAGATTGATTCTACCAGGGTCTCCAACAGATATCTGCCAGGGATCTGAAAACCTTGTTTCAACCCCTTGTCCAACCTCTCAACCACAAAGGCGACACTTTCCTTTGCCTTTGGCACATTTGGGAAGCTATGCTCTGAGTTACTCAAATAGATTCCAATTCCTAAAATTAAATTTAATAACAATAGCCTTCAACTTAAAATTAAGCCACTGCGAATTTTTTTTCAAAGTTAAGAGTCTGCAGGCTAGAACATAAATACAGATGAAAATAAAACAAATAAGGGAATAGTTTCAGCAATAAAACAAAAACAACAGTTTCTGGTTTATAAAGCTGGATTCTGCAAGCATTTCTTAAAAACTCGTATTCTTCACCAGGCAGTGGTGGCCCACGCATTCAATCCCAGCACTCGAGAGGCAGATGCAGGCGAATCTCTGTGAGTTTGAGCCTGGTCTACAGAGTGAGTTCTAGGACAGACTCCAAAGCTACACAGAGAAACCCTGTCTCAAAAAACCAAAAAGAAAACAAACAAACAAAAACCTCTGTTCTTCAGCAGTTGAGATGTGTAATCTTAACGTTTCGCAAATCATATTATTGAGCTGATATTTACCTATATTATTAAAAATACAGGAAAATTAAAAGTTGGGAGTGGTGCCTTACACCTGCAATCCCAGAACTGAGGAGGTGACAGCTTGCGGGAGTTTGAGGCCAACCTGGACTACATAGTGAGTTGCAGCCCGGCCAGGGCTACAAAATTAGACCCTGTCTTAAACAAAACAAAGCAAACAAAATCAATCAAAACAAACAAAAGCCCGGAGGGGGGTGGGGGATGTGAACATTTAAAGAAAGCGCGACGGAAGGAAGCGGTTCTGTAAAAGAATAAACGTTCCGGTATTTTTGCGCGCCGGGCTCTGGAGACCTCCGCCTGCTGTAGACGGAGGAGGGTTCGGCCGACCGAGAGAGAGAATTGAAATAAATGCAGGTGTTCGCGGGCACCTGGGCCTCCTTCTTAAGGCAGTCCGCCGGGCCAATAGTGGCTCCAGGCTGAGCCACGTGGGGTGCCTCTGAGCCTATGGCACGGCGGCCGGCTTGTCTGTCCCCCGCCAGCCCCTGGTTCCCCCGGAGAGCAGTGGAGAACTGTCAAAGCGATCTGGGGTGGCGTTGGGAGCCGGCGGCGAGCGGCACAGCGCCAAGGCCTGGCTTGTAGATCCCTACCCGGGGCTGCTGGCCCCCAAGTGCCCGCTGCCACCATGAACGGTGAGGAGCAGTACTACGCGGCCACGCAGCTCTACAAGGACCCGTGCGCGTACCAGAGGGGCCCGGTGCCAGAGTTCAGCGCTACCCCGCCTGCGTGCCTGTACATGGGCCGCCAGCCCCCACCTCCGCCGCCACCCCAGTTCGCAGGCGCGCTGGGAACGCTGGAGCAGGGAAGTCCCCCGGACATCTCCCCCTACGAAGTGCCCCCGCTCGCCGAAGACCCCGCCGTGGCGCACCTCCACCACCACCTCCCAGCTCAGCTCGGGCTCGCCCACCCGCCCTCTGGGCCTTTCCCCAATGGAACAGAGCCTGCGGGCCTGGAAGAACCCAGCCGCGCTCAGCTCCCTTTCCCCTGGATGAAATCCACCAAAGCTCACTCCTGGAAGGGCCAGTGGGCAGGTAAGTCTGGCGCTTTCTCCCTTTCTCTTCTCCAAGTGTGGACCCAGCTGCCACTATCTTCAAGCGCTCCCCTGGGCCTTTTCCCAGATCCTCTCCAACCCGCAGGGCTAAAGCAGGCTTAGCATAAACTCCGGGGAGGCCAACGGGTCCATTCATCTGGAACCCTCTTCTCCTCCTCCCTCCTTGCGGGTGTCCTAAGCCTTTCTTCACCTGCGAGCCGGCTCCCACGCCCAGAAAGCCGAGGCCTACCCAGGCTCGGAGCTTCTGAACTCTGGATCCTTCTGCAGCCGGGGGATCTGGAAGCCGAAGACTCCCAGGGAGTGGGCACCCAGTTAAGCAAGATGTCTCTGACCTAGGCTGGAACCTCTTCGAAGCCTCAGGCCCCTTCGCTGACCGGCCCTGTCCTGGTGGCTTTATTAAAGAAAACGGGCCTCCTAGAGGCACCGAGTAGAAACAGAAAAGCAGGAAGGAAAAGGAAAATTGATCCCTCCGGGCCTGCCCAGGGTACGGAGGCCCTGGAGTAGGGTAAGGGGTGGGAGTGAACAGGGACAGGCTGAGGGGCTCACCGAAAGGCGGCTCCCGAGCATGGCAGCCGGGGAGAGGCGTCTGGGGTGCCAGTTCTTGGACCAACCAAGTGTTTGAAGGGTCTTCTCGCGCTGTGTCCCAGGAAGCAGACATGCAGGAGGAGGGTCTTCTTGCAATCTGGCTCAGTGAAGCAGGACCCCCGGGTTTCCTTAGCTCTGGGCGCCGCCTGCTTTGTGCTAGGTCTTTCCTGGCAGCGGAGAGAGACGAAGCAGAGCAAAGCCCCAGGTCCCTTCCCCGCCGGATGCTGGCAGCGAATTTGCGTGGGGCCTGTGCCCGCCACCGCTGCACAATGTTATCTCTTCCGGGCTGCAGCCACTTCTGGTCACACCTGTACTGCAAATAGCTACTTTTTCTTTGGCCTTCCGACTGTCTGTCAGGAACCCAGGGGTTACGAAGCTGGCGTTGGCATCCCCTGAGAATTCCCAGCGTCCTGCCTTCAGGGCCTGTTTAAGAAGCCCTGACACTGCCCCCCAGGAGCACCCAAGCAAAGCTCTTGAGAGGGTCTGGAGTAGCAAGGCTCACCAAGGTCCCAGGGGCACCTCTCGCTAACTCACTTTCTCGCTGAGGCGAAATTCCTGATTTAAGAGAAGGGCTCACACTCTTGCTGGGGGCGGCCGTCCCTCACCTCTGACCAATTCCAAGCAGCTGGAGCAGGTAGATGCTGCAGAGGTGTCTCAAGGCCAAGGCCAAAGGTCGCTGAGACCCGGTTCTTGGGACTGCCTGAAGATGGCCCCTCCACCCAGGGGGCTCTCAGTCCGTAGATTCTTGCCAGGGATTCCGTCCTTCGGGGCTCCCTCCCTCAGAGCCCTGGCGACTCTTTCTGGCTATCCGCTCCTGCGCTGGACTGGCGTGCCAAGAAACCAGGGAGTAAATTCTGAGGGAAGGGCGACAGCTTTTCCTGTGTTTGGGGAGCACTTTGGAGACACCTTTGGACCGCAAAATTCGGGCCTTTCTGACCCCCTGCATGCCCGACTCTGGCCGCCTCTCTTCTCCGGGTGGAGGCCTGCCGGGCGCTCCCGCGTCTCCACTTTGGAAGCACTTCCAAGTTTAGCGAGCCCACCGGCGCGTGCTTAGTGGGTTTTCACCACCCTCGGAGAGGGCGCAATGACCCAAGGGCTCATCGTAGCAATACCAGTACTAATGGCGACAGCTACCTGAAAATAATTGGACCTAACAGAACTTCATCACTGGCCCGTTCTACTCTGAGTCCCAGAGAAGGTCACCCTGGGGAGCTGTGAGCATTTTCTCACCAGCAGATTCCAACTTTAGCTTCCGTTAGCTGGACACAGATCCCCATGGCTTTTTCCACTAGGACTCGGCAAAGCGGGCGGCTGAGGGCAGCGGCCGGAAGAACCGGTGAGTTACGTTTATGAAACCGTGGTTGGCCTTTTTAAATGTTTCATTAAGAGTAAATCTCTGCTCTCTCCTCTTCCGGGCAAGGCCTGAGTGGTTTTCAGGCCTTCCTGGGGAGAAGAACTGCTTTCCAAAGAGTGGTCCTAGGGGGTCTCACCTCAGCTTCCGGTGCCTCCTCTTGGCCTGGGGAAAACCCGGGAGCAGATTCCATCCAGGAAATTAATTCCTTGCCTTCAACGCGCTCCCGCCCCTCGCCTCTGTCCTGAGTCAAGTTGGATTCAGCTTCTTCGTTGAGCTTTGGTGGAGAACCCTAACCAGTGTCCACAGTCCGGGCATTTGGGTGGCCAGGAAGGACCCAGACCTGGGAACGCTCAGTTTGTATCGCTGTTTTCCTGGCGACTTGGTCTTGTTGCTTGCTTTAGACGAGGCTTGGAGCTGGGTCTGACAGTCCTTTGGCGATCCATCCCTTCTCCGGAATCGCTCTCAGTTCAGTTTGGACCCGGCCTCTGCCAATATCGGTGGTACAACGCACAGTGGGGAATGAACTGTCTCCTGCTAAGGGTGACCTTCCCCAAAACAGTATTTCTTCTTCTCAGAGGCAGGGCACTAAAATTAGAGTAACAATTATCTCTCAAGTTGGAGCTAATTACAATACAGCCATATTTTAAAAACAATATACGGGCCCAGGGAGATGGCTCAGTGTGTAAAGAAATGTTTCCTTTGCCAGCCTGAAGACCTTAGTTCAATCCATGGAACCTCAGATTAAAAAAAAAAAAAAAGAACCAAAAGTTGTCCTCCTGCCTCCGATGTGTGTTACAGCGTTCCCACCTACGTATCCTACACATGAAAATAATGAATATTTAAATAAATAATGACACATATTCAAAGATGTAACAAAATGTGCCCACAACTTAATGAGCAGCCCAATCTTTCAAACTGCGATCTGCATCCATTCGTGAGTTATAAATTCATTTTAAAAAGTGTTTTTGAGACAGGATCTCATTATGTTGCTGTGGCTGGCCTGGAACTAGCTAGGGAGACCAGGCTGGCCTGCATTTGCCTGCCCCTGCCTCTGCCTCCTGTATGCTGGAATTAAAGACTGCGCCATGACGCCGATCTTGTTAAAATAATTTAGTGTGCTGAATTTAGCATTGTTTTAACGAAACAGTGAATGAAGTGGAAAATTAGCATTGTGTGTGGTAAAAGTTTAGTCTAGAAATGTTAATCGGTTACATAGACCCCTATAAAGACGGGATAGTAATCTAAACCCCATTTCATACAGTCAGACTGCACTGGGTCAACGTCAGAAAGTTTGTTTAAAATCCTGTGTTTAAGGCATATTATTGCCTTAGTAGAACGGAACCAATCAAAGTGTCTATGTGCATTCTAACCATTTTATCATCCATGAAATGAACCACTTTTGAAACCACTGGTTGGCAGACCCAAGCGTGGTATTGGAGGTGAGAGCCGGAGAGCGGTTGTGGCCTAGGAGAAAGGGCTGGGTGGACTGGGGTGCATTGTGGGGCAGCCACGGTGGGCTCTGGAGCGAGGGGCTGCGGTTGGACTGACCGCTCCCGATCAGGGCCGTTCCTGGGCTAGGGATGAAATATTTGGGCTGCGTGGGGCCCGGGGGACCGCACTGACCGACTGTGTCGCCCACAGGCGGTGCGTACGCAGTGGAGCCCGAGGAGAACAAGCGGACCCGTACAGCCTACACGCGGGCGCAGCTGCTGGAGCTGGAGAAGGAATTCTTGTTTAACAAATACATATCCCGGCCTCGCCGGGTGGAGCTGGCGGTGATGCTGAACTTGACTGAGAGACACATCAAAATCTGGTTCCAGAACCGTCGCATGAAGTGGAAGAAGGAGGAGGACAAGAAGCGAGGGAGCGGGACCGCGAGCGGGGGCGGTGGGGGCGGCGAGCCGGAGCAGGATAGCGCGGTGACCTCGGGAGAGGAGCTGCTGGCCTTGCCGCCGCCGCCACCTCCCGGGGGTGCTGTGCCCCCGGGCGTCCCCGCTGCTGCGGCCAGGGAGGGCCGCCTGCCTCCGGGCCTTAGCGCGTCACCACAGCCCTCCAGCATCGCGCCTCTGCGGCCGCAGGAACCCCGGTGAGAAGGGCAGGCTGAGGGTGAGCGGGTCCAGGACCCGGAGTATGGACGTGCGTGCATGCGTGCGTGCGTGCGTGCGTGCGTGCGCGTGGGCAGCCGGAGAGGGGGGGAATGGTGAGCCTTAGCCTGGACGCCACGCAAGTGCATTCTTGAGGGCGCATGCCAGTTGGGTACAGCCGGAGAGATGCTGGCAGACTTCTGGGAAAAAGAGACCTTGCTTCGGAAAACTTTTGAGGTTGCGAATGGCCAGGTCTGCCTCTGTTGGGCACGTTCCCCTCCCTGCCTCCAAGACTCTATCCTGGGACCCATTTAGAGGACCGGGCTCCAAACTGATGGAAAGGGTACAAACTTGAACATTCGCCGAATGTCCCCGGGCCCCCGGGCGAGCTGGGCTGGGTGCCTTTGCCCAGAAACAACAGCCCTTACCGGACCGGCCATTTTAAGGTTAGGAATAATGAAAATGAGCTGCTTGCGGTTTCAAAGACGCAGCAAAGTGTGAGTTTCTTCTGGCCGCCCTCTTCCTCTCCTCCGACCTTTTCCTTACTTCCCTCCTCCAGACTCTATCCCCCTCTTCAGCCAGATATTTCATTAGCATCCACCCTTCCACCTGCACCCTTTCCTTTGAAGATGAGAAGTTCTTCGCGGCTGGTCCTGAGGGGAAGTGGAAGCTAGGGTCCTTGTGCCCCTACTGGGACCTCCAGGGTCCTGAGGGACAAGGACCTTTGAGGTTTCTATTTAAAGCGCGGATATCTTCCTGGAAGGAAGCCGGGTGCCCCGATACACCTTAGGAAACTATCCACAAAGCCCTGACGTGATTTCCACGTCGTATTTTGAAGGTTTGAGGGGCGGGGAATTGGTTGTTTTCATTTAAAGCTTTAAAGTTAGCCGTTCTCTGCCGAAGACGGGTCTGCAGTTTCCAAGTCAGTCAGCTGCTCCCTCCAAGGTCTGAACCTTATGTTTAGGTTGTTTGTGGAATGTGCTTAATAAATATGAACAGCATGAGAGGTAATGAAGACAGAGTCTCCTGGCTTTATTTCAAACCTCCCTAGAGGATGGTATTTCTGTCTCATTTAAAATTTTTTAACTACCATTTTTTCCGATTAAGAATTATCCAGCTTCCGAGCTGAGTGGTGGTGGTGACGGCTGAGGCAGGGGCAACAGGGGTGCTCTTAATCCCAGCACTTGGGAAGCAGAGGCAGGCGGATCCCTCTGAGTTCAAGGCCAGCCTGGTCTGCAGAACGAGTTCCAGGACAGCCAGGGCTACACAGAGAAACCCACAGCTTTTCTAAAGTATTTTGTTTTGTTTGTTTGAGTGAGTGAGTGAGTGAGTGAGTCTCCACCCTTAGAGACCCAGGGCCAGGAGTGCCTCTTCTAGCAAAGCTGGTTAATTTAGTTGTCTCCAAACTCCTACCCCTCTCTGTTCTGCAGGCAACTCCAAAATAGTGGCTGTAGCCTTGCCCTCAGCCAAACACCTCTAGAGCACTCCCACAGTCTAAGCCTGAGATTCGGGAGCTGCTACTTTTATTTCTTTCACACACAGAGAGGCATTAGGCAGTTTTATTTTTTACTTGTTTAGTTTAAGAATTTGCTCTTTTTCTTAGAGAGTCACAATCTGGTAGAAAAACTCTCCCAAATCAGAAAGGTGGATTTTCCCCTTCAATGTCAATGTGCCCTCTCCAGGTGGATGCTGCACACAGTGTGGGTCTGGGGTGTGACAAATCTACATTGGAGATGTAGAAAAAATGATTTAAGCCTGGTGGTGGGGTGCATGCCTTTAATTCCAGCACTGGGGAAGCAAAGACAGGCGGATCTCTGTGAGTTACAGGCCAGGACAGCCAGGGCTACACAAAGAAACCTTGTCTTAAAAAAAAAAAAAAGAAAGAAAGAAAGAAAGAAAAGAAAAGAAAGAAAGAAGGAAGGAAAAAAAGAAAGAAAGAAAAGAAAAAAATGATTTTAGGTCTTCTCACGCTTTAACTCAGTGGAAATTTTTGTGCTGTCTTATAGGATTGCTGTAGGGTTTAAATTAAAAAATATAAGTGGGTTTAGTTTAATATGTAGGAAAGAGTTGTCCATCCACAATTATTAGCTACTCTTTTGTGACTGATGGTCGCTATTTTCCCTAGTAACTAGAGCCCTGGCCACTAGCCTCTCCAGTCCCACAGGTCCTCCTCTTTGGCAACCCCCACAACTGTTGATGTGGTTTTCACAGACCCATTGATCTAAGGGGAGCACTCCTAGTTTTCCAAAACTCCCTTGCTGCCCCAGCAACCTCCTCCAGGTGCTTCTTCCCGGGATGCTTCTTTAAGGTTGGTGGAGACTGAGACCGGTCCTTTTGCATTCAGTTGTTTGGGTTCCAGAGTAAACCAGTTTGCTCTGAGAGTCTTGGAGTTCAGCCTCACTCTGGGCATTGACCCTGCTGCAGCTTCCACACTGGGTTCTGCGGATCTGCCCCGGGGGAGAAAGGCGCGGGTTGGCAGGAGCTGGGAGTTTGGGGCGCCGGTAGTTGCAAGGCTGACCGGTGGAGGCCTGCGGTCTCTACATCAGCCAGATGAGAGATCACCCTTTCTGCCTGTGAGCCGGATGGCCACGGTCTGGCAGGCGTAAAACAGTCTGGTTCCGCTGACCTTGGATCTCTCATCCCCTTACCTACCCGTGGCCTCGACTGAGTCGCTTTAATTCTCTTCCCTCATGTATTTGGAGCCCATAATGAAGATGAAAGGAGATGGCAGCTTCTGAAGGGCTTTGAAGGTGGTCCCGCACTCATTCTAAAGAAACCTAGTGTAGGAGGTGGGGGCTGTCCTTTAACTTCCAGTAGAGACCTCCCTTCCTGGGATAATCCTCAAGAAAGTGAGAGAGAGCAGAGCTCTTCAGGGAGAGGACACTGGGCTGTGTGTAGGCAGCAGCTGGCATGAGGAGGGCTTCATTGGTATATCTACCTATGGCAGCAGGATGAGACTTCGCCGCAGAAGGGAGAGCAGAGTCTACAGGTCGCTGGCACAGGGCTGCGCCTATGTTCCAGGAATTGAGCAGCCACCCAAAGCTGACTTGGGGGTAGGGGCAGGAAGGGACACACATTGTGGCCCCTGGGGATGTGGGGGTGGGCTACAGGTGCTGTGGGGAGCTCCAAGCTCAAACCCATGAAGAAGCCTGGGTTTTCCAGTGATGAGGCCTGCCGAATGAGAGAATAACCTGAGGGCCAGAGTGAGGGCGGGAGTGAGGGGAACTGAGGCCGGACTGCTCACCTCCTTTTGTGTGCTCCACTGTGACACCACTGTGCATGACTTTGGAAAGTGTTAGGGGTGTATGTGTGTGAGCACTGAGCCTGTCCCCCTTGTTTTCCCCGGGAAGCCCTGGGCAGAATCCCTATGCCCCGTCATTCCTCTTGAATTCATCCAGTAAAGTGAGAGGCGTTCCTGGATCAGAAGCCCTGGGCAGAATCCCTATGCCCCGTCATTCCTCTTGAATTCATCCAGTAAAGTGAGAGGCGTTCCTGGATCACTGATGGTGGATCAGTCTGGAACCACACTGGCTGTGGTCAACGTGGTGGATGGAGCCCTGGAGAACACGACCTGCTTCCTCAAAGCACACCCTCACCTGGAAGCCTCTGGAAATGGTGACTAGACTCTTCAACCAGAGAACCTGAGCTAAGGGACTTCTGTGGGTTTTCCCAAGCCCCGTGAGTTCCCAGTCCAGGACCAGAATGGAGGTGGCGTTGTGACAAAATAGTACAACACACAGGAACCCAACAGCCTCTCCATTTCTTCCCAGACAGCCCTTCCGGTGGCTTTGCTCCCAGTCGCTCCGATAGCTCTCATCTCGGCCAGATTCATACTGCACAGTAACGAGAGCTCAGTTCGGTGGTACTCGAACACAGTGTCTGTAAGGCATGTACCTGCGCTCGCTGGGAAGCTCCCACCTGAAGGCGCCAGCATTCATCAGACTTCTAAGCTGGAGTCCCTACTGTTTTTGCCCTAATATTCTGGGAAGTCCAGGAGACTCTTGCTGGTCTGTGAATTTCCCAGGGTGAATAGGAGTTAATCAGGTTCCCCACATATCTCTTTTTGAAGAACAAGGGCATCTTCAACTTACCAAATTAGCCATGGGTTCTTGAACTGGTAATGCCACCTGTCCACATCCTCTCCTCCAACTAACCCTGCCCTGGTGCCTAAGTCTGAATGAAATCTAAATGTTGCTCTTTCAAGTTAGTGAAATCTACCTACCACATTTCTTTTAAAAATATTAGTATTATTTTACTTTCTGTCTATGGGTTTTTGCCTGCATGTATGTGTGTGTACCATGTGTGTGCCTGGTGCCTGTGGAAGTCAGAAGAGGGTGTCTGACCCCCTGGAACTGGAGTCACAGATGGTTGTGAGCCACCATGCGGGTGCTGAGAATCAAACCCAGGTCCTCTGGAAGAGCAGAGTATGTCCTTAAGCACAGAGTCGGCTCTCCAGCCTTGGCCTGTTCTAGCTCTACCAACCACACCTCTACCAAGCTCTCTCTGTGAGTCTGTGCCTCTTTGTACATCCGTGTTTGCGTGGTTGATGTCTAAGGGTGAGTCCAACTTTGTGTGTCTGGATACGCCTGCATGGCGCAGGCGTTGTGTTTATGTTCATGTGTTTACTATGTGTCAGGTAACTTGCCATAGCGACAATGATCAGGTGGCACTAAACACCAAGGCTGCTTTCCCATATACCTTGTCCTTTTCTCTTCCTTCCTTCCTTCCTTCCTTCCTTCCTTCCTTCCTTCCTTCCTTCCTTTCTTCTTATTTGTTTATTTATAGACAAGGTCTCACTATATGGTCCTAGCTGGACCGGAACTCCATATGTAGACCATGTTGGCCTTGAACTAACTAACAGATACCTGCTTGCCCCCAACCCCCCAAAGCCCCCCCACCCCCATGCTGGATTAAAAGTGTGCACCACCACGCCTGGTGCTTCCTTCCCCCCTCCCTCCCTCCCTTCCTTCCTTTCCTTCTTCTTCTTTCTGTGTTCTAAAGATAAA